GCATGTCCCTCACATGGGGCAGAGCGTTGCAGAGGGAGAGGAAGGGCTTTCCGGGGTGAACAGTGACCTGTGAGCACAAGGGCAGCTGGAATGCAAGACCAAGTGTCTGAGCCAGACGCCCCACTCTCACGGGCTCGGGCCACCCGGCAACACCTTGACTCCAAGCGGAAAGGGCCCCGGCCACGGGATGCCCTGGTGTGGTCCCTCGGTGTGGAAGCACGGGAAGGGGGAGGGCCGGCAACGACGAGAACGGACGGAACTGAACGTGGGTGAGGAACACAGGTGTCTAGACCCTGCTCCTTCCCCCTCAGGGCCCGGCCTGGCCTTCATCGCCTACCCCCGGGCCGTCACGCTGATGCCTGTGGCCCCGCTCTGGGCTGCCCTGTTTTTCTTCATGCTGCTGCTACTGGGCCTGGACAGCCAGGTTTGCAGGGGGTGACAGAACAGAGGGTGGGGGAGGCACGGGGTGAGGGGAGACGGCCTGCAGGTGGCCGCAGGGGCACGGCCTGAGCGCCCGGCCACAGTTTGTAGGTGTGGAAGGCTTCATCACTGGCCTGCTCGACCTCCTCCCGGCCTCCTACTACTTCCGTTTCCAAAGGGAGATCTCCGTGGCCCTCTGCTGCGCCCTCTGCTTTGTCATCGACCTCTCCATGGTGACCGATGTGAGTGGGGGCGGGGCAGGGCAGGCGGGGCCCCAGGCCTCCCACTGCCTGCCACCTCCCCTGACCTGGCTCTGTCCCCAGGGCGGGATGTATGTCTTCCAGCTGTTTGACTACTACTCGGCCAGCGGCACGACCCTGCTCTGGCAGGCCTTCTGGGAGTGCGTGGTGGTCGCCTGGGTCTACGGTAGGTCTGGGCCACGGGGGCGGGGGGCCGCAGGGGCGAGCCAGGGGAGCGGGGGGCGCAGCCCCGAGCAGGGACGGCGGGGTCCCCGGCCGCAGCTCTCCTGCCTCCCCTCGCCCAGGAGCCGACCGCTTCATGGACGACGTGGCCTGCATGATCGGGTACCGGCCTTGCCCCTGGATGAAATGGTGCTGGTCCTTCTTCACCCCGCTGGTCTGCATGGTAAGCGCCCGGGGAGCCCCGGGCCGGGGGAGGGACGTCAAGGTCCCCCGAGGCCCCCCCACCCCCCCTCCGCCACTGCCGGCAGCTGAGGGCGGGGCTTCTCGCCCGTAGGGCATCTTCATCTTCAACGTGGTGTACTACAAGCCGCTGGTCTACAACAACACCTACGTGTACCCGTGGTGGGGCGAGGCCGTGGGCTGGGGCTTCGCGCTCTCCTCCATGCTGTGTGTGCCCCTGCACCTCCTGGGCTGCCTCCTCAGGGCCAAGGGGACCGTGGCTGAGGTCAGTGCCCGGCACCACCTCTCCCCCGCGCGACTCCCTCCCTTCCACCGGTGGGTCGGTCGGGTCTGTTGAGGCATTTTCTCCAAAGCGCCCATCCTCCCGCCCACTGCTAGGATGCAGCGGATGCAGCGTCAGGCTAGGAGTCTCTGGGCAAGCTCGGAGGGGGGTGGGGGCAAGGAACGCTGACCCTGTGGGTCCTGAGGTCATGGCAGGGGGAGGAGAGGGCCGTCCCTGGCCTCCCCCCCGCCGTCTCCCTAGTACAGAGAGTGGGGTGTGGTCAGTACCCACGGGAGGGGGCCCCGGTCCCCAACCCGTGGCAGGTGGTGGGAAGTGGAGACCGGGGAAAGCACGGGCGCCCCTTCCCCCGCCCAGGGACTTGAACGTGTCCCTCTCTCCCGCAGCGCTGGCAGCACCTGACGCAGCCTGTCTGGGGCCTCCACCACTTGGAGTATAGAGCTCAGGACTCCGATGTCAGGGGCCTGACCACCCTGACCCCAGTGTCTGAGAGCAGCAAAGTGGTGGTGGTAGAGAGCGTCATGTGACAGGCTCCCAGGCTCACATCACCAGCTCACCCTCTCGTAGCCATAGCAGCCCCTGCTTCGGCCCCCCCACCCCTCCAGGGGGCTTGCCTTTCCCTGACACTTTTGGGGGTCTGCCTGGGGAGGGGGGGAAGCACCACGAGTGCTAACTAAAATAACTTTTTTTCCATTTTTAATAAAACGCCAAAAATATCACAACCCACCAAAAATAGATGCCTCCCCACCCCCCACCCAAGCTGATACACACGCTGCTTCCCAGGCCCTGCCCACTGCCCTCCCCCAGTGCCCGCCGCAGATGCGTCTCACCGCAGATGCGTCTCACCCGACCGCCGCGGCGCGCCTGCCACTCCGGGCCCTGCCTCCGCCCCGCGCACCCCCGGGTGGCCCCTCCACCCTAGAGGCGGTGGAGGTGGCGGCTTGGGGGAACGGGACAGGGAGGAGGAGGAGGAGGAAGGCGGGGGAGGGGCTGCGGAACCAGGGCGAGTATTTCAGCCGGCCTAGACCCCCTCTCCCCGTCCCTATCCCTATCCTAGAAGCTTAGAGAGCCAGCCAGCAAGGGAACCTTCTGGTTCCCGCGCCAATTGCCACCAATATCAGTTGTGTGAGCTTGTGTACGAATGCATGTGTGCGTGAGTATGTAGGATAAACCTAGATCTCTTAGCAAAGGTGACTACCAGGTGTAAACTGTGCCTGTGGGCTAACGAGGCTTGTATTTTGCACATTTTATAAAAACTTGAGGAAAGAGATTTCTGCTTGTATATTTCTAAGGAGAAAACCGCCCCGCGCCCCTCTCCTTGCCGCTCCCTATCCCTCTCAGCACCCCCTAGTCCTCTGCCCCAGCCAAGGAGTGTGAATTTATAGACCTAATTTTCATAGGCAAAAGCTTCAAGCTGTTGGGCGCGCGAGTCTGTCGTGTGGGTGTGCATGTGTCGCGCCCGGCCCCACACCAGGTGGAGGAGTGCACGGCGGTGGGGGGGGGGGCATCCCCACACCCCCTCTGCCCGCGAGGCGGCGGGGTGAGCGGATGCGGGTCCTGACCCGCGGGGGGTCTGGGGCTGCTCACCTGGCGCGCTCAGGCTCGCCCACACCGCGCCCCCTGCGCCGGGCGCGACTGCAGGGATCTGAGGCGGGCACCGGCCAGGGAAGGGACCCCGGGCTCGGCTCCCACCTGCGAGCTTAAGGCTGATGCACTTTCCACGGCTCAAGTCTTCCATGTAGCAGCTTTAATTAACCCACGTGTGCGTCACGTCAGATCCCAAGACAGCCGAGTGGACCCTAGAAAGGCTTCCCCCACCCGTGCCACCCCGACATCGGTCGGAGGGGTTGGACTGGGTGAGGGCGGGGGTCCGGCGGGGACATTCTTACTGTGCTAAAAAGCCACTGCAAACATAGCAATAAAACATGTCATTTTCCAACGCCGGCTCCTGCTCCACCTCTGTCAGGAGGGGTAGTGGGGTCGGGTCGGGGGTGGGGGAGCTGCAGGGGAAGGGGGGGAAGCCTCCCTCAAGCTGCTTCCTTGAGCAAATATTTGTGGTGAGGGTTCCAGGAACGGAGATGAGGGCTCCGGGAATGGGCAGAGAGCAGGTGACAAAGGCGGGCGAGGCTTCTCCGCATGGAGCGGACATACTTGGGGAGAAAGGGTAACCGCGTGGTGGAGAGGATCGCCAGGGGCCGGGAAGGGGGTGGGAAGTCGCAAGCGCAGGGATTCCCGAAGATCGCCCAAACACTGCACCCAACAGAACAGGGGGCCTCCAGAGGGCCGGGTGGGAGGACGCTGGCGATGAGGCCGTAGCGGCACAGTGGGGACCGGTGTGCAAGGCGGAGGCAATGGGGCTGTGGGCGGCGCATGGCTGAGAGGAGTCAGGGAGACGCTGGGAGCCTGAGCACTTGAGCACTGGGAAGGGTGGCACTGTCAGGTCCTCCCCGCACCCAGGGAGGGGAGGGAGAGAAGGTTTGGAGGTGGCGGTAGCAGCTACCTGTGGGCCTGCTATGCCAGGGATGTCACCTCAGTGGGAGTGTCTAATCGCAGGTGGACAAGGAGTCTGCAGTTCCAGAAAGAGTCTGGACTGGAGAGAGAGCATTAGAGGTTCTCAGCACACAGACGTGGCCCGGAGAGCCCTGAGCCTGCACGAGCTCACCAAGGGCGGCCGAGAGCCATGTAGAGGGACAAGCGGCCCACACACCGAGCCCTGGGGTCCTGGGACACTCCAAGGTGGCAGAGAAGAGAGGGAACCGGCAGCAGAGACTGAGGAGGGGTGGCCAGGGGGAAGGGAGGTACCCCAAGAGTGCAAGGTGGCCTCCTGAAACAGGAGTGAGAGACACGCACAGACACCTGGGGCAGGAAGGGGGTGGTCAGGGAGGAGGAAGTGATCAGCTCCCCAGGGTACTGCTGATGGTCAAGGGCCTTTGACAGCGAGATCCTGGAGACCTGCACAAGACAGGGTCGGGCATACAGGGACATGCAACAGCCTGATTGGAGCGAGATTAAAAAGAAAGGGGGGCCCCGGGGTGGCTCAGTTGGTTAAACATCCAATCTCAGCTCAGGTCATGATCTCATGGTTTGTGAGTTGGGAGTCCCACACCCGGCTCTGTGCTGACAGCTCAGAGCCTGGATGGAGCCTGCTTCATATTCTCTATTTCCCTCTCTCTCTCTCTCTCTCTCTCTCTCTCTCTCTGCCCCTCCCCCACTCACGCTCTGTCTCTTTCTCACAACTAAACAAACATTAAAAAAAAAAAGGAATAAGGGGTGGAAACAACTCACGTGTCCACTGATGGGAGGAAGCGGACAAACAAAATGTGGTCTATCCGTAAAACAGATGATTATTCAGCCTTAAAAAAGAAAGAAAATTGGGGCTCCTGGCTGGCTCAGTCACAAGAGCATGCAACTACTGATCTCGGGGTCATGAGTTCGTGCCCCATGTTGGGAGTAGAGTTTACCTAAATAAAAACTTAAAAAAAAAAAAAAAGGAAAGAAACTAATGCCTGCTACAGTGGGGCTGAGCCTTAAAGACATTATGCTGAGGGAGAGAAGCCAGACACAAAAGACACTGCATGAGTCGGCTTCTGTGAGGTACATAGTCACGTTCACAGAGCAAGTAGGATGGTGGGTCAAGGTTTGGGAGCCTAGTGCTCACGCTGGATGCCAGCCCGTGGAAGGGTGGTGGCCCCTCAGAGAGAAGTACTGGTCTGTTCCCTGCCGTACCCCTCCTGGGCCAGTCCCTGCTCTTCAGCAAGGCACGGTCCCCTTATGGAGGAGGAGGGGCTTCAGCACTCAACTATACAGCCAAGGGGGGCTCTGGCTTGTGATGCCGCCACCAGTCATGCTGTGATGGTCGCCAAGAACCTGGACGGGAGCAGGTCCCCACGGAGCTCAGAAAGGAGCACTGGCTGAGCATGCCTGACTGCAACTCAACCCAGGCCTGTGCTGGCATGCGGAGGTGCCTCCCAGTGGGACTCAGCACGGCCCTGCAGCACGTGAGCCACGTCCCAGGCCCCTCACACCACGCCCTGCCCCACTCACTCCTCCACCAACAGTCCCCGCCTCTGCACCCACAGAACGGAGCCTGCAGCCTAGCGTCACCCTCAGCCCCGCTCTGCTCCCTACCCAAGGCTCACACCAACTCCTTACCATCTCCCTCCTCCAGCTACAGCCAGGCCTTGGCCCCGGCTTCGGCACCTCTTGCCAAACGGCCTACGAGCCACCTGCCACAATGGCACCAAAGACTCAGAAAACATCAACATCATTAAAAAAGAAGTCAACAGAAGTTGGGACTGCTTGGCTGGGACCCTGAGAGCAGTGGGTAGCCCCCGCTTACTCGGGAGTCTGCCCCTGTGGTAGGGGCTTAGGACATGGGGTCTGGCAACCTAGTGGGAGACACGTAAGGGAAGGAATCAGCCCGGGACTGTGGAGCACCATGGCCTACGACAGCCAGAGGCGAGGTAGGGGACGCCATGAGGCAAAGGGGCACACAGCCCTACTCGAGCATAAGGCTGATAGTAAAGTTTCCATGGTCGCCCTCCAGTCGGGGCTGGCGTGTTACCCCCCCCCAGAGTACTTTTAGGGTACTCTAAAAGCAGCCTGGTGCAGCTTTCTCCTCTCTGCCTGGTCCAGGGCCTGACACTGAGGGGGGCCCAGTGGCTGCCCGAAGTTGGCCAGGAAGAACCCACAGACACACTGCTTGGACTCCGGCCTCTAGAAGTTCACAGAAGGGCAGGCTCAAGGGAGGGCAAAGTAGTCAGGGAACACTTCCTGGAAAAGTGGGACTCAGCCTTAGCATAGCAACCAGAGAGCCTCGCCCAAAGTCCACCCCTCCACCCCACCAGCCACCACCTTGATGCTCCTGAGAGCATGGGGAAGGGACACTGGAGAAGGCAACCACAGGCCCGGGCCTGGGCAGGTCAGCGGGAGTGTGAGAATAAGCTAGCCCCCACCCCCATTCCAGAAGAATACCCCTCCAACCTGCCCCTCCTGTCCCTGCAGAGGATGAGCACCGCAGCAGAAACGGGCAACAGCAGCCCCAGCCACCCCTGCCCTGGGCTCTCAGGCTGCTCCTGAGTACCAGGCCCTCTTCAGCACCGGCCACCTGCTGAATCCACTTGGGGGGTGGGGGAAAACGCCAAGGTGGAGCCCACTGCACAAGTGGGCTCTCCAAGCAGGTAAGCACACCCCACACGTTCCCATGGTTGCAGGCAGCAGAGAGGGCACCCTCCCCACCACCTAGCTCTACCCTAGGCCAGTCATAGGTGACCGTCAAGGGCAAGTCTCCTGCCTTAGCAGGCATTAGTCAGAGGTCATCCTGCAAACCTTCAGGAGGAAGTGGGGCAGGGAGTGACTGGTGGCATTCTGCCACGTTCTGTCTGTCCTACAATGTGATGAAACAGGCTCAGAGGAGGCGGGCAAATCTGCCACCCGGAAGCCCCACCAGTTTACTGAGTCTCTCAGGATTCCCTGGGCCCAGTGGCCAACCCAACAGGTCAGACACGCCCCAACTGGCCATAAAATAGGGCCTGTCTGGAGAGCAGGAGGCACAGGGACAGAGAGCAAGTGCGGGCCTGGGCCCAGCCTGGGATGAGGGAGCCCTTAAGGGTTAGAACAAGTTGGAAAAAAATAACCTGAAGGCCTTCGGGACCAAAGCCTGGGGGTCTCGATCAGAGCTACCTGCTGCTACCTTCCTGGTCACTCCCATGAGGGGAGGTGGGGGCCTTCTGGTGGCCTCAGTCACACACACGAAGCCCGGTTGCATAATAACAACCTTTATTGCCCCCAAGAGAAAATACCCTCTGCCTGCTCCGTCCGCCCGCCTGCAGGACCAGAGACAAGGGGCCCCGAACAACATGAAACACAAAAGAGGCTCAACCCAGCGGGAAGCAACGCCTGCCTCGTGCCTGGCCGGCCAGGAGGTAGCGAACTCATCCTGAGCAGGCAGAGCCAGGTCCCCTGTGGCATGCCGGGACAGCGTGGGACTGTAAGCTGTGCAAGGGGATGGGAAGCAGGAAGGGCGAACCGAAGGAGCCGGCGAGGCCGGGCCGCAGGCGGCAGCAGCAGGCACCGGCCAGGTGGCAGGCAGGGAGGAGCAGCCTCACTCCTCCTTCTTGTCCGTGGGACCATCTACCGCTGCCTGAAAGGGACAAAAACCACAAGGCAAGGGGTCGGCAGGGTGCACCCCTCCACTTCACCCTCTAGCCCCTCCACCCCAAAGGCCCAGCTTGCTACCTTCTCCCCAAATGACAGACAGCAGGTGAGCAAGGGACCCCACCTTCAGCGAACTCAAAAGTCCCGCCAGGGTGGGAGTGGCCCTGCTCTACCAAAGGCCATGATTCTAATGCCAAGCGGGGGGTGGGGGGTGGGGGTGCAGCTGGAAGCCTCTGCCGTCAGTCTTCTCTGAAAGGTGCAGGACCGCACACCAACACCCTGTCTCAGGCCCATGGCGGACTCGGCATTCAAGTCCCTCCCAAGTCCCAGTTCAGGTCCTGCCCAATTCTGCACGCCTTTCACAGGCCCTGCTAGCGAGCCTGCACTGAGGCCATCAGTCCTCCTCCGGGGCCTGGGCCCTTCCTCACCAGCTGCACTACTGGGCCAAACTAGGACGGCCAAGCAACACAGCCAACTGTCAGAACGTAGGGGTGTTTACCTGGCCCTCACGCCCAATTTCTGGGCCACCTGAGCTTCCAAATCGTATCATCTGAGGACTCAGAGAGAACCTGGGGCGGGGAATAGGTGGTGGGCCCTGGATCACCCCACAGCCCCACGTATAGCAAGGGCTGCCAGTCCCACTTTTCCAGTAGTAGACTTGGACTAGAATCAGCGGCCCCACACCACACACCAGGCGCACATGTTAAGAGGAGCTCCTCTCAAAGGCACTGACGCCAGGCGTGAGGCTGGGCCGGCCACGGTGCAGAGGGCCCATCCCATGGC